ATGTTCGAGAAGACTCACAGGATACCAGAGGCCTTGCCATTGTCAAGTTAAGGTTGTTTTTCCTTCTAGGCATTAACAGTAAGATAGTTGGGAGCTTCCTGGAGAAACATGACACTGCCCGCTTCAAGTATCCGTCAATGGGCTGCAGATTATAAGGACATTTAATTGTATCTACATTCCCTTCTGGAAGCTAGGTCATTTACAGAAATGTTTTGTCCTTGTAAATTGCTGAGACATTTGTAAACTGAGGGAGACTCATGTCCTGCAAGACTGTGAGCTCTATCAGATAACCATTTGTTTTTCCTTTACGGCAGCCAGGAGTGCCTGAGGAATGTCACACGTGTCCCACCCAGGAGTAGGGGGTGGGGGGATGTTGTAGGGCGTCAGCTTGTGCTTTGTCTTCAGCCAGCCTTCTGCTCCCTCATCACCTGTGCCCAGACTGCCACTGTCACAACCGAGGCAGTGTCCTGTATGTTCTTTTATGCCTGAGCCCAATACCCTGCCTGGCATGTGTACAAGATCTATTTATGCTGCTGAACACACCGTGATGGGTATCATGGGAAGATGCCTACAGATGCAAAGGATAAGTTTTCCAAATTGTGATCACCTGGAGCAGATGCTGAGTGGGGAGGGGAGCTTGGGGATAGAGGTGGAAGAGGAGGAGGGCTGGCTCCCTTCCCCCCCAACCCCCCCCCCCCAACCATGCTCTTAATCAGACTCAGAGTGTGCCATCCGGGCAGGACTCCTCTCCGGGCGGGGGTGGGGGTGGGTTTCAGGCCTCACCTCAGCGGCGCCACAGCCCCGCCTACCTCTGCCCCCATCCAGGGTGCTGCCCGCTCCCCTGCTCCCACCCGGCTGGCCTCCTGCGCCTCCGAGTCCCTTCCAGCCGCAGCCCGGAGCCTCCCCGCCTGGCCACACCTCCCGGGCCCCGCAAGGGTTAAGGCAGCGGAGAGGAGAGGTTTGGGCTGACGTCGCTCTGGCTGAAGGTGGTTCCCCTCGGATGAGGATGGGAGAGCCTGGCGAGCTGAAACCCGAGCTCCCGTTCAGCTGGGGCTTGGGGAGGTCCCTGTAAGAGCCGCCTGCCACCGGCCTCCCGCCGTCCCTCCGTAGCAGTCGCTCATCGGGCACAGGCTTGGGAACGATGGAGCTGGGCTGCTGGACGCAGTTGGGGCTCACTTTCCTGCAGCTCCTTCTCATCTCATCTTTGCCTAGAGGTACCGTGAGTAGCGTTTAGGAGCCCCCCAGAGGTATTTCCCTCCTCGGTATGGTGGGGAGCATGCCTGGGGAGCCCCAAGGGATGGTGCTGGGCGGGGGATGGCCAGCGCTTCTTCTAGTCTTGTCTAATCTTAGGGGCTTGGCTGGTGGTGCTGGAGCGTCTTGTCCTCCCTGAGAATGTGACACCGTTTTATCATCCCAACTTGTGGGACTGAACTGCCTCAGGAAGGGGTGTACCAGTTCTAGTTTACTTTGCTGGTTTTCGTTTTATCTTTGTAAAGCACAGACGTACCTCCGGATATCTATCCAGTCTGACTCACCCACTCTGACTGGCAAAAGGGAGAAGTTTCCCCTGGAAAGAGCCCCCTCAGAGGTGAAGCGGGAAGGAGAGAAACCAATCAAGAGCAAGGCTTGCAGCAAGGGTGTTCCCCCCACCCCCCCACTGGTGAATGTTGCTTGATGAAATGTTGCTTGTCACACCCTTCAGAACAGAGCCCCAGCATGGGAGATTTACCCACTCAGCATATATGCACTTCCTTCCTGATAAGAATGAGAAAGAAGAAGAGAAAACCAAGGTTAAAAGTGCAAGCCGTTTCTGGGGACACACAGTGTTTGTTTAGAAAGAGCCCTGGCTTGTGTGTTTTTCACTATCATTTTCTGAGCCGCAAACCCCGTGTCAAATGGGCTCCCATGGCGAGGGAGGCTGAAATGCGACCCAGAGCTCTTGGGGGTCTCTTGGCCCAGTGAGGGGATGGCAGGCTTGTCTTGTCATTGCTCGCTGGCAGGCAAGGAAGCAGGGACTTCTTAAGAGCCTTTGTCCTTATTTATGCAGCTCCAGCGGGGCAAGGTGTCAGGAGGTAGGTGGGACCTCAAGAGGGAAGGACAGGCTGACATGTACAGATGTGACAAAACAGGGCAGCTTTGATAGGAGCAGAGAGTGTGTGAGCATTTGCTCCTCACCTTCCGGGCTGGTCACCTGTCACCTTGCTGGTTACTTGTCACCTGTGTTCTAGAGAGGTGCATACTCTGTGGCTGCAGGTAGCTGGTGAGTGTCCCAGAATGAAACAGGGTAAGTGGGGTGGTGAGGGCATGAAATCAGCAGCCTACTGTATGGATGGGGGACTTGACCATAGGCACAGCGCTTCATGATGAACAAAAAGCCAAGATACCTGGGGGAAAAAAGCCCAACAAACCCATTTTGGTCAATACTTTCCATCTACCTACAGCCCACTGGCCCCAGGTGAAATCTTCTCTCTCTCAAACTGGAGTGTTTCATTTGAATTTTGCCTCAGTGGCATCTGGAGTAGCCGAAAGACAATAAATAATGAAGGAAGAAGGAGCCCCCATGAGTGGCCTTGATAATCCATAAGTACAGACCCTCACCTAGGGGTAGTTCGAGGACTTTATATTAGGATTCCTCCCTGCTCCACCTCTGCCCCTGCAGGGCATGGTGGCCCTAGCCCAACTCCAGGGGAGGCCGGTTCCTTCCCAGAGCACCAGGGTTCCAACAACTTAGCTTCCTCCTGACTACGTCAATGCTCCCCTGCTTCCTTTTTTTTTTTGTAACAAGGCAGGTGAGATGGCTTAAGCTCATACAAGTTAAAGAACAAAGCCCAGCTGCCCCTTCCTTCTTGCCCAGGATCTGGAAAAAAAAACAAACGTTTACTCCTGACCTGAGAATCTTTTACCTTTTGCTACGGAAAAGCTTTGAAGGAAGGATGTCTGGTTTCTTGGCAGTCAAGCTGCTGACCGAACCGGGGGGCAACTTCCAGCAACTTCATGTGTCTAGTGAGGATATTTTGGTTGTTGAAAGTTCACTTTCAGAGGAGGAGATGGAGGAAGAGAGTCGAGAAGGAAAATATTTCTTCAAGTAGTGAGTGAGTCCACTCCCGTCTGGAATGCTGAATCTGGCCGGGTCTAGAAAAGCCTGAAAGCAGATTTCATCTCATTGCTTTTGTACAAAGAGGGGTTTTGATGAAACATAAACATCCAGTGGGATGGTATAGGAGGTTGTTGCTCATCAGCACGGGACTCGTGTTGGAGGATGAGAATGCAAACATGAGGCCAAGTGATAACCCAACATAAACAGCATGGGGGGCGGAGAAACCCGACTCCACTGACTTCACTAAATAGCAGGAGCCCTGCCAGCAGGATCCTGCCGAAGAGGAAAAACTCATTTAAAATATGTGGCTCCGGGGAATGAAACCTTAACATGGAAGCGAGTGTTGCCTCCAACAGGCATTAGCTTGTGGGGAACAAACAGAGAGGCAACCGGGGAAGATAATTTGAAGCCCAGCTATTCAGTGGCAGGAGCAGTCGGCCGAGAAAGGGAATGTGGGAAGCAAGCAAGGGGGAAGGAGCGGAGTGGCAAGAAAAATTTCCATGTTGGTTGAGAATGGGATGTGTTAGCAAATGCCAAGGAGAGAGCTATGAAAACTGGGCCATCTTGGCTAGGGTGGATTTTTGTGGGGACCATGAAGACCGTGTTCCCCTGATCTATACTCTGAGAGCTTTGGCTTCTCTACCAGGAAAATAATTTGATGGTGGGATCATGGATTTCGGGAGCTGGGAGTGACTTTGGAGATCATTTAGTTTGAGTACCTTAATTTCAGAGGACTATGAGATGAAACATCTCTGAACATGGATGATGTGCCCAGTCTGTGAGCCAAATGCTGTACATGGACATGTATGAATTCTCAGACCATGCTGATAAGGTAGGGCTCTTACTATCCTCCTTTTACAAATGGGGTTTAGAGAGGTTCTGTGACGTGTTCAAGGATACACAGGCATGGTTTCCCCCCAAAATTAAACACTTGACCTAGCAATTCCACTTCTGGGTATATTCACAAAAAAACTGAAAGCAGGAACTTGAACATAGATTTTGTACACCAGTGTCCGTTGCAGGATTATTCCCAATAGCCAAAAAGGAGACACAACCCAAAATGTCCATCAATGGATAAACAATATGTGGTGTATACATATACTGGAATCTTAACCTTAAAAAGGAATAAAGTTCAGGCTACAAGAGGGATGAATTTGAAGACATATGCTAAGTAAAAGAAGCCAGACACAAAGGACGAATGAATACCGTATGATTTTACTTATGTAAGGTATATAGAGCAGTGAGATTCATCGAGAAAGTAGAACAGTGGCCAGCAGGGGCGGGGGGAGACGGGCTGGGAGGAGTGAGGGCTTAGTGGGTGTAGAGTTTCACTATGAGATGACAAAGTTCTGGAGATGAATGTTGGTGTTGATTGCAAGAGAGACTGAATGGAACACTTAAAAGTGATTAAAATGGTAAATTTTGCATTACTTATATTTTGCTGCAATAATGATTAAAAAAAAAAAAGAATACAAAGGCAGATGAGCGTGGGGTGAGCCCAGACGGTCTAATTCCTGAGCTCAAGCTCACCTGGTACCTGGCTGACTTAAACCCACACATCGAACAGATAGATCGATCATGCTGATGCACATGTCTGCTTGGTGCAGCTTCACGACACGCGTGGTAGGGGACGGTCCTTGCCAGCTCCAGTTTCACCGTTGCGCTGTCTTGGGTGGCTGTGGCAAAGAAGGAGGACTGGAGCTGAAGGTCTGGCAGTCTTTGGGTCAAAACGCCTGCAAATGTTTTGAACCTGAATGCTTTGAGGTAGGCTGGCCCTCTCTGTGGCCAGACACCCCACCTTTTCAACCCACACGTATGTTACCAGCCACTCCCTACTGGCATTTGAGATTTTGACTGCCATTCTGGAGAGGGTGGGGTGGAAAGGGCGAGTGAAATCCAGAAGGTGGGGGGCACGAGAGCGGGGGTTGGGTAGCTTGACAGAACTTTTAAAAGAAGGAACGTAAATATATATTAACTTGTGGGTTTTGTAGAACACGTAGAACCTCTGTGACCACCCACTCTTTGGTAAAATGTTTTATTCCCGTAAGTGTCCTTGAGCATGAGCTTTTGGTGGGAACAGAGGATGAGGCTGGGTATTGTGTCTGGGTCAATAAGCTGGGGGACAAAGCACCTTTGGGCATGGGCGTGTCTCAGAAATATCCCGAAGTCTTAGGGAGGGCTTTGGAATACCACTGGTGTGGACTGAAGGTTTGATTTAAAGTCACTTATATCTGGGTTACTAGATGTCTAGATGGCTAGACAGAAATGGCCAAGAGAATGGTGTCTGGGGGAATCTAATGACTGGTCTTAAGTGAGAAATTATTTCCACCTCCCCCGCTAGGGGCGGCCAATCCCCATGCAAGAGAAACTTCTCTACCTGCCTCTCCTGAGACCAGCTCTAGAAGCTGCAATCAATTTGGGATATGTGCGGGTTGGGGGAGGTGCCATTTCAGTGATAAAGGGGGAAAGTTTGTGCTCCCCTTCCCCCCACATGGGGGAGGACTTGTTACCCTCACTCTGGGATATGGGAAAGTCACAAGAGCCCAGCTCCCTCTCCTCTTTTTTTGTTTTAAAGGTGAGGGAAAGGCAGTGTTTACATTTTCCAGTTCCTGAACTCCACGGAGTAGAGGACCCCAAGGCCAGCTGGAGCATTGAAAACTACCAGATCAGTGGCAGAAAGTCTAGCAGATTCCAAGCCTGGTCTGCGTTTAAGGAATTCTGTTTGTCAGCCATCATAAGATCTGTGCCAAAGTGTTAGGTTTATGTAGAGAGAAAGAAGTGAAAATGTAGGAAAAAGCAAACCTGCTACCTGTAAACAAAACCACCCAAGGAAGGCAGAGAATTAGAGTTGGCTGGAGATATTCTACTCTCTTAATCAAAGGGACTTCTACTACTCCCCACTCAGTTCCACTCCTCTCATTTTGTCTTGGGTGCAATTATATGTGAGACAGACACAGAGCCCATTTTTTCTTGGGTATAATTCTCTGTGGGTTGAAGAAGAAGAGTGGGTAGGGGTTATACCTCAAAGTCTTCACCCTCGATGACAGAAGCACCAAACGGCCTCCCATCCTATCATAGATAAGGGATCTAACTGCAAGTTTGGCCACCCAAATAATTTGTGGAATTTGTGGTAAATACCAGGCACTGTCCTATGTGCTTTACATTTAATTTATTTAATCACACGTGGAGGAACTCAGGCAGAGTGCTTGCCCAGGTCACATGGCTGGATATCCGTGTCTTGAACCCAGTCAGTCTGACTCCATAACACACGCCCTGAAACACTCCGTAACACTGTCACAGTAAGCACTGGGTCCAACTATGGTAGATCGGCTGGCTGTATTCTGGCTGAATCATAAAGGAGCATGGTGTTAGTTGGGAAATCTGGTTATCTCTTGGACACTCTAAATGTCCTAAAGGAGGCGCTGAGCAGACCAAAACTCTAACCAGTTTCTGGGATAGCTGTCCCCAGGATCACGTGTCTTACTCTGATTCAGCATAGGAAGTGAGAATTTCTCTGTCTCATCGTCAGCTTTTATAATTAGACTCATGTGTCTGCAAAGTGACAGAATTAAAGATGATCCGTGTTTCAAGTCCAGCCCTAACACTTTGTAGCTTAGCTCCTTTATGGATTTATTCTGTCAAGATCATCAATGTGTAAACAGGCTGTGGAATGGGAGAAGCAGGTCTGGAATGAATAAAGGAAAGCGTTTTTTCCCTTCTTATTTTGGCATAACGCAGTTGATGGATATAGCAGGGGATGGAGACACGATCCCCTTCCAGTAAAATTAAGATGGGTTTTAACCAATTCATTTCAACCTTGAATGAGGACCTAATGTCTACCTGACAAGCAGGTAAGAGAAGTGCCCCCATCAGCTGGGCAGCACAAGAGGACGCCTATTTCTGTCACTCTCCTGCCTCTGCATTTAGACACATGCCCTTATTCCTGCAGGGTGGGCGTCTTTATCACCATCCTCTCTGAGGTCCTGGCTCCTTCAGAGGGCGGAGTTAGTGGTTTGGCAGCAAGTATCTGTGTGAGTAGAAGTCTGGTCTGTTGGTTTGGTGATTGGAAAACCGGGGCTGCCGCCAGAACGGAGTGAGGAACACATTCAGGCAACGTTAGCTCATGGGGAGACACAGCAATTGTCCTCATAAGCTGAATTCATGCTTGGTTAAAAAAAAATTTCCAGCCAGTTTAATGGAAAACTACTAAATGGAGGGGATACTGGCCCAGTTTGCTTCAAATCAAATGAATCATTTGAAGACTCTGGGGAACTGAAGTGTTTGTGTTTTTCAGAGTCCCCCCTTCACTTACTTCATAGGATCCCTTTGCAGGTGATCAATGAATCCCCCTTATGCTGGGATCTTACCTCAGGATCAACAGTGCAACACGCCCGAGATGATCCAGGACAAGTTGCCTGAGCTTAGCTTCTAGCTGGTCATGTCTACTCCCCTATTTTCCCACACGCCCTTGGCTCACCTGGATGTGAGAAGGGGGGGCGGGGCTTGGCTGCCAGTAAAGAAACTTTGTTGCAGGACTTCTTGGTCTGGCTTTCTGCCTCCCAGTGGGTGGATGACTGCCTGATTCTCCCTTCTGGGCAAACCCAGCTCCCCTGGTCCAGCCCACTGATGGAACAGAACAAGCGAGCATCCCAAGTCTTTGTGGAAATGAACTACTAACTGCAAGAAACCAGAATATTCACCAGGAATGAACCCAATGGATTCTTCATACCACAGGATCGAGACTCCCACAGTGTCCCAGCAAGAGACGTTTCTAACATCACTCTTTTTGCGCTCACCTTTCCCTGGAAATCACACGTGCTTCCTGTGTCCACGTTCAGGTATTTATTCAGCAAACTTGCTCATGCACCCACCAGGTGCTGGACATGATCCTCGGTGCTTGCAGATGCCATGGTGAATAAGACAGAGCCCTTTTCCTTAAGGCACTGGCAATCCGTTGAAAGAGTTGATGGTCCAGTCTGGTGTTTTCCAAAGTGGGTTTCATGGAATTCTAATGCTGGAAGAGCTTCAGCAAAAATAAACAGCCAAATCCTAGGTTGAACAGAGTCTGGGGGATGTGGAGATTGGCTATGCACAAAGCATTTATAGATATTGCAAAGCCCCGTATAAAGAAAGCTGTGATTAGCATTTTATAAGGTTAAGCACAGAACCTCTTTCCACATCATACCTTATACAATCCAGGGGAATTAGTACTCCCTGGAATATAGTTTGGAAAACTCTGCTCTCTTGCCCATAATGAATGCAACATTGAAGAATACCTCACCGTTAGGATAGGGGAAGGAGGGAATTTGAAAGTCCGTGAAACATGAGCTTCTCTTCAGACTTCTGCTGAGCGCCTGGCAGGAAGTCTGATGCCCTAGCTGCTTAGTGCTCCTCAAGAGGGTGAAAGAGCTTGGAGATGCCCCGTTCATGTTGAGAAACGTCCTCGCCAGCACTGACCTGCATGATTCATTGAGAAAACTCATTTCTCATCTTCAGGTTGCTGACAGTAATGCGGTCGGTCTGGGATCATTGGACAAATGGAATCTGATGAATGCACGGCCACTGTAACGCGGCATACCCGGGGGCCATAGGGCTGTGGCCTGACTTCCCAGCTAGATCGTATCCTTGGTGACAGTCACACAGTCTCCCCTTCCCAAACGAGGGGACTGTCTGAGCATCCTTCTAATCCCCGGGGGCCCAGGACCATTCATCCCCAACTACCGTCTCTTCTCCACTCCACCTGCCTCACCACACACCCGGAGGCTTGTCTCCAACCCTGTTATTTGCCGGCTCTGGGATAGCCCAGTCACCGGGGCCCTGATTTGCACACCCTGAAGTGATCTGGGCTCTTTAGGCTGGAGCCGTATCCCATAGAGACAGCACGTGACTTTGAGCTGCTCATCAACCCGTTGCTTGCTGTTTCTGGGAACTTCTTTGTTCCTGCCTTAGCTAAATATCGTTCTTGTTGTCATGCAACACGGCTTCTCCCTTGGCCCTAGCACTGCCTGCCTCCTTTCTCTGCTCTGACTTGTTTCAGACTGGGTAACTACAGTGGCAATGGGTGAGGCATAAAACCAGTTGTTCCTTCAAGGGGTATCCTACCTAAGTGGACTCGAGTCACCCATGACCTCAGCGAAGATTCAGGCCTCACTTGCCATAATTGTGGGATTCATCTTTGGTATGGATGTGTCCGTGTTTAAATACACACGTACGCAGAAGAGTAGAGATGTGGGATGTGTGTGTCTGTATGAATATGTATATATGTGGGGTGTACAGTATTGTGGTTTGAAATATGGCCCAGGGTTTGAATCTGTCGTTTATGGCTGCTTTTCTTGGGCGAGTTCCTTAACTTCTTTCATGTAGCCTTCCCACTTTTCAACTTGTAGACTGAAGATAATAGTGTCTTTTGGGTTCATTGCAGGGGTTAAATGAGAATTGACTTGAAATGCTTAGTGACGCATCTTGCAAAAAAAGAATGCTCAGGAAATTAGAGATGTCTCCTTCTGTGCCTTCTGTTCTTCCCACTAGCACACGTTTCACAGGGAATCGAAAGGAAATACTGGGCGTTCTGTCTGTAGTAGGAAGGGACTTACAAGGTCCTCTTGAGGCCCTCTTTGCCTCCTATGTTATTCATCGGTGGCTCTGTCAGAAAAAACTTCCCTAAAGAGTCAACATAAGTTTCTCTCTCTGAGACTTGCTTCCTTCCCTTGGTTTTATCATGCATCCACTTTACAACCTTAGGGGAAGTGTCTTCTTCATGTGGTGCCTTAGTTTCTCCATGTTTGAAACAGGGCGAGTGAGCGGTTGTTTCTTGCAGGGACTGAGAGGTCGAGAGGTCAGGGGTTTTTCAGAGTAGGTGATTCTGGGTCAGTGGCCTCGCGTCCCAAACAGGAGATGTTGCTCCTGACCCCCTGTCGTGATTCAAGGGTGGAGCCAGGCAGGAATCCTCAGGCATAAAGTTGCCCTTCATGTGATTCTAGCCTGCAGAGCTGGGGGAGGTAACTATGATGAGGGTTAGCCTGCCCAGAGCTGCTGCCAGCTTAGGGTTTAGTGAACCGGACATACCATCATAAACGCATCATCCACACTTAGCATCCGTCCACACTCGACCTATGCTTTGGTCATCTGGCTCTGGTAGAAGGAAAATCTGCCTTCTGCCTGGCATCATTGACCGTGGACATGAAGTCAAGAACACTAACTCTGGAAGCTATTGGCAAAGAGGTAGATGTGGCCGACCAAGACTCCTGTGTGGCCTTGACATGCTCTGATTCAGAAAGACGGGTTTGGAAGTGTGGAAGACTGGGGGCTGGGGGGGAGGGGATAGTTTGTAGAATTCTTGGGTCCAGGGAAATCCACATTGGATTTCTAGGGGATAGCTTAAGTTTTATTGTTTTTAACTTAGCCATTCTAATGCTTCAGTTGATGTCATATTGGCTGAATTCTATTGCCAAGTACTTTTAGATGCATTATTAAATTTTTTTCGTAGTAGCCAATTCTACTAAAAAAATAAGATCCAGTCAGCTCATATTCCAACAATTGAAATAACCCAGAAGCAGCTGTCCTTCAAGGATTTCCAGCGCCACAGTTGTTGAGGATAATGGCAACTGTGGGCTCTGCCAAATGCGAGTTTAGGTTTTGTTCCCTTTGACTATGGATGTAGAATTTCTATTTCTAGAAGAGAAGCAGCAGGAAGTAAACTATGTCCTATTTAAATAGGTGTCTGAAGAGGGGATATTAGGGATCTAGAAGCAAGGGGAGGAGCTCAGAATGCCCTGATTTCAATATGAGCATATTGCCTAAAAATGCCACGTATGTGTGGGCCTCAGGAGAAGACATTATTACTCAGCCCCTTCACTCCCTTAGCCATCGGTCCCTCAGCCCAAGATGGGATGGCTTTGTATCCTGCAGAGAAAAATGGTAATGTCTTGATAAATCTGCAATTTTTCTTTCAAAGCCCTTTCTGCTCATTGCCTTCTTCAGTCGCAATGACGTTAACAGCCCCATCAACTAACTGTACACCTATCCCTTGAGGCTTCGGGCTAAGGCGTCTCGTCTACTACAGTTGTCCAGCAGCATACAAGAGGGACAGGCTCAGGATTAACATTTGGGTGGTCTGATTCCCAAATGTGTCCATCTCGTCAATGCTGCATTCTTATCGCTGCAAAGCCAGAGACGTGAACTCTCTAGAATCAAGATAGCATGTTGGAAGGAATGAGACTCTGGCCCTAGAAAGAGGTGGGTTCTGATCTTTCTTCTTTCACCTGAAAATGGTGCCACCTGGGGCAGTGTATTTACCCTGTCTGTTCCTCAGTTTCCTCATGTGTTAAATGAAGAAAATCAGACTTACTTTGAAGGCTGGCTGTGAGGATTCAATGAGCGGATATGGGCCCAGGGCTTGGAAGTTTTCCCTGGGGGTGCCAGGACCCAGGGTGCCTAGAAGTATGAAGGAAGAGCCACAGTGTAGAGCAGCGTGCTTAATAAAGGGTGAGCAGGGAAATCAAGTGACAAACACTTTTGCCTCCCTGTCCCTCCCCATTGTATGCATACCTAAAAACCAGATTTCTATGGACTCCATAAAAGTTTTATCACTCCTGGTACCCAAAGGGGGTGATGAAAAGCTTGACTCCACAGCTATCATTATCTCATTAACAAGAGGAGCTGTGAGAGGGGGCAGCCTGAGGTCACTGAGGTGGGGAATCCAGCCAGGCTGGGACTGAGGGTCTTGGGCTGACAGGATGGTTCTCAAAGGCTTAGGAGGAGACATGGAGTCAGCAAGCATTCCCTATTCCCTGACTCACAGTCCTGCCTGCCTGGGGTTTGCTTGTCATCGACCGTGATCCCGTGAGCAGGTGGCCAGACCCTGGGCAGTCAGGAAAGCTGTGGGCTGCGGAGCTGTCCTCAGTCTGGGGAGTGCAGATCTCACCAGAGGAGGGGGGCTGGGACTGAGGGGCCCAAGCTGTCTAATCGGATTTCCCTGTTGAGGCAAACATCTTTTTTCCTCCCTCTGGTCTCAGAAGGTTTATAGAATGCCGGATGGTAAAGACTCGGTAGAAATGTTAATTACACGTGGTTAGCTGGGAGGACTTGGAGGTTTTGGTGGACAGAAAGAGGGGTTCCAACATCAAAGAGAAGTGGGCACAGGATGAAAGTGCCTTTCTTTGCCACCTTCTGGGGTGGTCTCGGCCTGGGCCTTTAATCTGACAACTGATGTTTCAATCATGTAAGGAATAGGCTGACCCCTGTTTTCCCGAAGAATCCTCTGAAGTTTTTCAGATGGACCTTAACGGCCATCGGTGTCAACATGTTTCCTTAAAATCTGGTGTTAAGCACCTGGCACTTGGAGACTACGCTTCGGGGGACACAGTTGCCGCCGCCCCCCCCGCCCCCGCCATTCTGTGGAGGCGAGTACCTGCTGTTTGAGGGATTCCTTGTATCCCCCCTGGTCAGCAGGAGAGAGAGAGAGATCAGTGCTGGAGAGCCTCCAGGCAGACTGTCAGGCTGCTAAGGAACCCTGCAACAGGAGGATGGTGACGATGACGTCAGCGGCTTTCTTTCACCCATTCATTCATTCGATCGCCTCTCTGAAAGCTGAGCCTGCACCAGCTCATCAGCCTGGCCATCATTGCTTCTGTATTCCTGTTGTTAAAGCAGGACCAGGAGGTGAAGTGCCTTCCGTTTTCCAAAGCGAGTTCTGGAAGAAGCAAAGCGGGACCAATATAACTGGACTCTCCACCCTGGTTAGGAGACACTGGGATGGCTTCTGCCTGGGCAGCTGAGGGGGCCACTTGGGCTAAGCTCAGGATACCAAAGTCCTTTGTGACTCTCTTACTTTCACTGG